AAAATCTCAGAGCTATTTTTTTAGAGTGGAGAAACTATATCAAACTAGTAACCACTGTGTTGATGTTAAATTGTTCTTTTCCTTGTTTCATTTGTGCCAAATATTATTTCCATTTCATTTTGTCACGATTACAAGTTTATATTAAAGTTTAATCAAGCATGGTGTTTATGTTGTGTATGTACTTTATAAATCAAGCATTAACTCGATTATAAGTAGTTTTCTGTTTTAAAACATTCTTGCAACATATCGCAATATATGCTTTCGCATCGCAATACATCGCAATATGAAAATTCTCTGCAATACCCACCCCTAGTAAATGGTGTACTTGTTTAGAGCTGTAAATCTCATCCAACAGCCACCGCTATCGTCTTTATCTTTTAAAATATGGGCCATATGAAGGCGGGTTGGAAATAATCAAGTCGGGAACACACAACATAGTGATTAATGTTATGAGCAACGATCAACTTCGCCAAGTCGACCTCTTACCGCAACAAAGCGATCTCAGCGTTATGGCGATCCTAACTCCCGTGGTTTCATTTCCACTCGCCCGTTGCCGTAACCTCCAACAAGATCGCTATTCGGCTTGTCCCGGAATAACACGAGTGGGTCACGAATGCCACGGTTTAACATCGATGGTAGTACTAAGGTGTGTCTGTAGAACGGGCCCGGAAATTGGGACTGGAACATATTCTAACGTCCCAAAGGAGCAAAGGCATTTCATATGTCCATGATATCCGCAGGTTCCCAATTCAACTGTAAACATATGTAGATTATATTTCTCTGTGCTGTGCGAGAATTTGCAAAATATACACCCAGCGATGAAAAGGTAATTTAAAATCAGACTTAATATTTTTACTAGAATATTACCCAGACCATATCCTGTCTTTTACGCATCAGCTAAACTTATACAAAACTTGTCTAAGTATACATTACAACAGTTTACTGTGGGGAGTCTAACAGACTCGTTGACTTAGTTGACACTTGTCATCGTATCCCAGTTGCTTAGAATGATGCTCATGATGTTGATCACTGGATTGTCTGGTCCAGGCACGTTTATTTACTGACCGCCATATAGCTGGAGCATTGCTGAGTGCGGCGTTAAACAACAACTACAAAAAAATATATATAAAACGTCTTATGGTAACTATCTTGGTGCACTTTACAACCTGGGACGTGATGCTGTAAAAATATTAATTTTGATCGACAGAATCTGAGATTTAAACAAGATCCTGTACATCAATTTGCCAGACTGCTAGCCAGACCACCTTTGAGCGCCAAGTTGAAAGTTCTTTGGGATTCGTTTTTTGACACGTTGATAGGATTCAGAATGTTTGGGCTTGGATTTCACCCCTCATCTCCCCTCACATTCCTATTTATATTCAGAGTAAATAACAGGCAGAAAACCCCAATTAAATATGAATTCCGTACAAATATAGCTTGCATAAGTTTCGGTGTGTCGTCCCACAGTGTATACATTATTCCTGTCAATGCAAAGTATTCAAAAGGCAAATATAGAAATAAAAAACTATGCTCGACAAAGCACATGAAAAATCTGACAATCCGAGATCGGCGAGCAGAACGAACAAGGGACACAACTCTGCTTGCTCTATGTGAAGATGTCTTGGCGACCTTTGCACAGACAACCTATAAGTGTTCCTTACGAATATCATCGTAAAACCTTCTATTTTATTATATCAATATAGTGATAATAATGATTTGATATCCAGTTTTATGATGTCACGAAATAAGTATCGATATCATTAAATATTGATTGTCAGAAATTTGATTTATAATATATAAAAGGTATTTTATGATATCTAAAATATATTTAGTGACATTAAAAAAGAATTTCTGATGTCTAAGAACCAAAAGAGATACCATTCATGTATTTTGTGATATATAAGCATCTTGAAAAAACGTTCAAATATGTGTATCGATTTAGTGATATCAATAGATCATCTCCCTTAACACTGCATGGTGTGAATTTTATATCAACAAAATGTCATGTTTAATAGTAAATAGCAAACTGTCTTTATATTTATTACATATAATCCACACACGTGACAGGCGATAATATTGGTGTCAGTTAACTTATTTACTGTATGTATCAAGAAGCGAATCATTGATATCACACATTTGATTTAGACATCATTAGGTACATTTCTAATTTTAAATGTTGTGAGTTTGGCTACGTTTCGTTGTATTTCGCCTGAGAATATCAAAAGATTCCGATTTGTTTAAACCAGTATTAAAAACACTCACACAAAAAGCACGCGTCTCTATAGTTTATACTTATGTTATAGTGGCTATTGCAACGGAATGACGTGTAATTACACAACATAATAATACCTCTTTAATGTACTACAGAGGTCCTCCGTGATACTCTTAAAAGATAACTGATAATTGTCAAGAATGTTCTATTCTAAAAGTTTGTCAGAATCTAAGGCACAGTTTGGTATTTTAGAAGCGTAAAATTATGCAATGATGTTTTTATGCAGTAGGTTCATCACGCGTACATTATATGATATATGAAAATATGTGCACACATACACTTAAGCTATACCAAGTGACTTTTGGAGTTTGTATGGTGTTCTGAAATATATCGACACTACTGCAAACAGTGTGGACATCCTACAGCTACTTGCAGATGACAGATATTCAATCACTATTGCATGACTCTAGAACTAAAATGAAGGGTATGAAATTGTTTCCAACCTTAAAGCTTAAATATATCAAGTAAGATGGGCTCTGGATTTTCAACTTTTCATTAATGGTCTGTTCTTCCTTCAACAAACAATCAATGAATTGTGAAATCACATTAGGTCCTCAATAAACTATAGCTGGATGATAATAGTCTGGGTTTGCAGACATTACCTTGTACCAAAAGAGGGTACGTGTTGCTTATGAACCACAGTGTGTGCTGTTTCAGGACTGGGTTAGCGGCCACTGACCTTTCTAGTTATGCATTCGAAATCCGCATAAATTACATATGGCACTCTAAGTTGTTTACATATACTTTTAAATCTAAGCCATTTTTCATCTTCTCATTTTGTATCAGAATGATTTGCACCTTAACCTTGTGATCTTCTAAGAAGCCCTGGCTACAAAAACAATGGAAACTCCGTCTACAGTCAATTGTTTGATTGAGTCTACAGAAACTTATAATGGGACAATAGTGCCTTTTATCTTCCTGGCTGAGAAGCAATAAGTCAAACTTAAAAGAACTGATATAAAGTGAGAATACTCCATCATCATGCTCATAGCCAAATACATGAACAGTAATGCCGCCCCAGGCCATTCTCTTCCCACAGAGGTTCTAGGAAGATATCACAGGAGTAACCTCTGTGGGAAGAGAATGGTCCCGGGCATGACCTCTCAAATTTTGAGATAGAGGGACAGGCAGGACAAAACCTTCTAAATTGAACACAGACTCATATGGACAATATTTGCTAACCTTACCAGCATTGGCGGATCCAGGTGTGTGTGTGTGTGGGTGGGGGTGTGTTTCCCAGGGTTCGGGGTCCGCCCCCTGAAAAAAATTTAAGACCACGTTATTTTCAGGGGGGACAACCCCCCCTACAACCCCACCCCCTCCCCTTTTTTGAAAATAACTTAAGACCATGTTGAAGATTTTTTTTTTGCGTTGGTGGTGCCCAAATTCCTGGATCCGCCCCTGACCAGGATGATTTTCCATCTTCTGGATGCAAGGCACCCTGCACAGGCCAAAGCATTTCTGATATTCATTTTGGATATTTTTTGTTGTCTTTTAGATATTTGGGGAGTTTTATGCAGGAACATGCTTCCAAAGGGACGTATTCAGCTGTGTTGACTCCAATATAAATACATGTACTTTGATCTAGCACCCACCCACTCCCTTCGGCCTCAAACTCATCAGCAGATGTGTACAAGTTTTGGTAGGCATCTGACAACTGCTGTTCATTTTCAGAAAGGTTGGTGGTCCAAAAGTTAGTAGTTCTAAGTACTGGCTCAGCTAAAATAGTCTCATTATTTCCATCATACTTGATATACTTAAGCTTTAACGCTAGAAACCATTTAACACCTTTCATTTTGGTTAATTGTCAGAAGTGGCCCAGGTATCCAGTTCGGTGGGTGTCTTCACATTGGTCAGAAATTGTGTGTTCTCCATTCTAAATAAAATAAAACGGGAAAATATAGCCAAAATATAAATGGGGAATATCCACAACAGAATGTTTCAATAAATACGTCATTGACATTTAAAACGTGTAGAAACTATGATATAAAATAAAAACAAACGTAAAATACTTTATGTTTTACCTCAAACGTAAAAATAACGTTATTTGTCCTAATTTAATCTATACTGTATATTTACATACCTGCAGTTATGAATAGATATATGTATCTTAAATTGTGTTCAGTTACCTTTATGAATGCAAGGAAGGTTGAAAAGGGTGAGAAAAAATTAACTTTTTGATGACACAAAGTTCTCGGCTGCTGGCGTGAAACAGAACGATTTGAATCGGATGTTTCCTCGTCATTATGTAGGGCTGACAATGGATGAGTTCATTCCAAGTAGACTGTACTGGGTGTATAGAGAATGCACTGATGTGAATCGGATTTCAATGAAAAGGGGAGGCAGGTGTGACTGTATTCAACATATTAGACGAGGCTATCATGAAACAGGTGGGTCACCCCTACATCATAAGAACTTCTCTGACCAGTCCATTCATGACCGACTTGTTCAAACTTGTTCAAACCTGTTTATTCCTAGTCAAAGTTATAGTGACCGTATCTGCACTGTAGTAAAAATTCCCAAGGGATTGTTTACATAACCGATTACCTTCATTATGTTGTTAAGAGATTTGAATTATTATAGCGAGGAGACCCCACCTCACCTCACCCCACCCCCACCTCCCTCCTTCTCTCTCTCATGTCATGCCTGAGATATCTAGTCACTCTCCTACCCAGAGTTCCATGCGGCAAGCAAGCATATCGTACCTCACTCTCCCACCCAGAGTTTCATGCGGTTATGTTAAGTCATCGCTGTGCCGGAGTGTGGTATCTAGTGCAAATTTAATCCATCTTGCGCTTGCGCAATACCTTCGTCTGTTACCCAAGCACCCGGACGTGTGTGAGTGTGTGTGTGTAATTACACGTCTTTGCGGCAACGAACCAAGTAAAAGGTAAGATATCGCAATACGACAATAAATAATCAGTTAGTGCAACTAACATGTATTTCTCAGAAAGTCCGTTTAAGATAAAAGATAAAGATACATAATCTCCTCTTTCTTTCAACGATTTGACAAAATATCGCAGGATGATCGCAGTCAAACTGTATTGTTTGCAACATCACCGCCGACTGATGATTAAATCTCGAGTCCAGTGAATACTTGTTTACTTGTTTACCTCCAGTGTTGCGCATTTCGCTCAACCCAAACGTTATCAAAAGCTGATCATTCGCTCATACCCGGTAGATCTCTCACCTTTCCCACATTCAACGTTTCTCGTTAAACGATATCGAAAGTTGAAAATTATATGCGAAATCTTTTCAAATGTCAACAGACATGCTAGACGAATAATACGATGGAATATTTTGTTAAATCTGGGCATTACAAAAGATTCAAATGAATAGTATTATATCAGAATCATTCGGGGCGGAAATTTAGCGACTGGCAATGTGAGCCCAACTCCATATTGTTCTGATCAAAGAGCTCTGTACACTGTATGACGAAGAATATATGACACATGCACTTTTGTATCTGTTATACTAGTATTGCCTGGGACAGAAATAACGACTAGTCGGTTTGTCCGATGTAAAATGTAGATATTTTGTAGAATCCAATCTGGAAGTAGTCATGGACTATTTGGATATGGTCTGGGACATTTGCCCCTGCTTATGGGGCTGATAAGGAAAGAAAATGAACCAATATCAGTAAGCTCCACCTTGTTATTATATCCAGCTGAACATGTTTCTAAAGTTGAAGAGATGTGATATATGTACGGATGATCAACAGGCCAACACGTCTGAAATTACAATCCGTCCTCCCAAATACACTCTTAAAACAGTAGGGGAACCTGAACTTTCAGTTTGGATAGGAAGTAAAAGCGTCAACAAACTTTTCCAAGACAGACATCTTATGAACGCACCACCATTTCTCTTTATCACCATCCCTAAACACAACGCATGAGATGCACACGTGTGTGGTGCCCTAAAACCCTACAATGGTCTTAAGTGTACAGTAATCATAAATAAACATGAGTGGGCGGAGCTTATGTGACCACGTCACACGTGTTTCGTACGCACTACTTCTCACTTGCACACGGAAGTGTCTCTATTTCTGCTGAGCCGTGTAAAGTCGAATAGCGTGTAATGAGAGTGAATATGTCCCCTACAACATAACAAAAACAGCATTTCTTTCCAAACTACCATATATAGATATTATAGAAAATATAGCAATATTCAAATGTTTGTTAAAAGTTCGATCGTAAATTTTGTAAGGGACCGTTCATAATGTATAGCTGGGCTGGGGTCGAGTGATGGTGATCTTTATGGAGAAACAGGTACAATGTGAATGGTACCCCCACTCCCTCTTTCATGAAAACACACATACTGCATGTATGAAAAAATTGATGATCCCTCCCTCCCTCCTCTACTACTACTCTACTACTCTACTCTCTCAACGCTACTACTACTACTGCTACTACTACTACCCTATACATTATGTATAGTTATATACATTGTGTCAGTTATGCATCATTGTCTGAAACAGTTTCACAGAGGAAAGGAGTGTTATGTGTCACCCACATTCTAGATGATTAATCAATCTATCAAGTCATAATTACCGTTCACTTTAATCAATGATTTCAGTACATTCGTAAACTGTAGAATAAATAAAATATAATACATCTTCGTCATGGCAGAGCCTGTTTAGTTACCACTATGCACACAGGGTGAGTGTGTACCTTTAGAAAATTGGAGAGAGTTTGAATTCTACTCTTTTAGGAGGGGTGGGGGTAGCCTAGTGGTTAAAGTGTTCTCTCGTCATGCCGAAGGTCCAGGTTCGATTCCCCACATGGGTACAATGTTTCAAGCCCATTTCTGGTGTCCTCCGTCATAATATTGGAATATTAATTTGCTTAAATTGACAAAATAGCGTATAATGTAGCATTCATCATTCCTTTAATGTTTGTATGATGCTGTACCTTTCCTTTTAATTGACTCTGCATTATAATTAACATCCCAGACTACTCCAGCTGTACTATAAACTAGGTCACCAAGACTGACTACCTCCTGGTCACCTGACTCAACATAGGGATTTTTTCCTGGGGATCTATTTTCACCTATAGATCCAGCACTGTTATATGACATGGGATAACAGATGTGCCCACTTGCCTAACTAAATGCTAACTTTAAAAATTCAACAGTGCCCCTGCATACAGTTGAGATCGCTCCTCTTCACAGCAAGAATAGGCATCAACTGAATTCCAAGCTTTCAACAAATTGTTGATCTGGACTGGGGGGCAACCCAACATGGGATGGTATGGTGAACAACCTGTAAACATATGAAGTTATTTATACACACAAACATTTGTTTGTTAATGCCATAATATAAATCATAACTGCATCCATGTGTTGATGTTTTCTGAGTAACCATGAAGGGGTGCACAAAATAGACACAGATGTTGAGATTTAACTTTAAAATGCCTTATTTCACTATTGAGGTTGAAATGTAACAAAACAGAAAAGTCTAACTACGGTTTATAACACTGCCAAAAAGGAGCATACCTGTTAAGGTGTCATGACAGAAAGATGTGAACTGTCAAATACATTGATTCACTTAATGGAAAAATAACAAATATGTCTTCAGCCATGCATGTGCAAATGAAACTAGAAAAATATCTCTATAATCCTAACAAAAGTGGGGTCAATTGTTTCATTGTGACTAAAGCAGTTAGTGGTGGTACCAAGGGTTCACAGAAAGCTGAGGATATATTGCCTGACAAGTGGGAACCTGCAAGTCCAATACATCTGTTCTGTGTTTGTGGCTCTGCCCTAACGTTGATATGTTCCAACTTACACCAACAATAATTTTCTTCATATCAAGCATCAGGAAGATGCCTCTACATCTGTGACCTTAACCATGGACATGACCTTTATAGATTACATATCATATTTCAGATCACATATATTTTATTTGATATTTGTCACCTACTCTTTGCCTGATATTTGGGATAGTGAGTTAGACGTATGACAATTTTTGTTATTTCAATGCATAATTGGTAGTGTTGGGAATTGGTTAAAATCTCATAATTGATCATTGGTCCAATACAACCGCTCAGTCATCGAAAATAATTGGTTAGCATCATTTATCAAATGTTGGTGTTACCTTTGTTAATGCACAAAATAAGTAACAAAAAAACAAACATGTAGTTCTTTGGTTTTGTTTTTCAAATTGCACAAAATGCATTTTCATATTTCACATATTTAAAGGATGGCTAGTATGTTAGGAACATAAATTTCCTGGCGTCTTTAAGATAAATTCAATCATGACTTGGAACAAGCTTGCAGTGCTTATGAAATGTAAATTTAATGACACAGACAAACCAACCTTGTGAAAACATATTGTTAATGCAAACAAATGTTCCAAAACTGCTTGTGTTCGATTATGGGAAAACATTTTCAATTGCTTTGGTCGTTTAGTCACTGCGACCAATCTTTGATTATTTCAGTTAATCAGACCACCACTAATAATTGGTTGACTGCTAACTTAAACTCAGAGCCTTGGTCACATTGTGGTATTCTTGGATTTCCCCATCCATACTCAAGGTAGATCCTATGTAGTTGATCCACAAAGTCAATGGTATGTTGCCCCACTGGTGTATTTTATATCAGGTTTATATCAAATGTGCTTCATAAGGAAATTTGGGACAACAATTGCCTGTCACCCTGCTTATCAATAAACTCCTGTATGCCTTTCCTAAGAATTTCCAGCATAATACCGGTTTATAAATGTTCTTATATTTTCGGATCTTGAACCCAACAAATGCTGTGTAAATTTGTGGAAATGACATTATGAAGTCCAAACTCAGGAATCACCATTTTCCTGTCCCCATCAATAATCTCCAGTCTGTATTTTCCATGGACAGGGTTGTCGATTTCTTTTCAAAGGAAAATCAAACTTCTTCATTTTCTTACAAAAAATGATAAAACGTAACAGTCTTACTTTTCTTGGGAATGTCATCTCCTTCAAGTTTTAATTTAAGGCAGTCGTTATTGTCATTTGAAATAACACCAATGCTTCTATTTCTTGAAGGATGTGCCTGAAATGCACCAATATCAATCATTAGGTTCAACTGTACTTCATATGATTGTTTCTTTTTTATCTCACATTATGTGCTTAATGTTAATAATGTTATATTATTTATTGAGTCATCTTACAAAAGTTTACAATACAAAAGGTACAGACACTCATCCACATTTATTGACATCTATATGTACCATGTCTGGCTTAGCCAAGGGTGAGAAAAATACATTTTAGGTACAAAAGACATAATATTCAATAATTATAAAATGTGTTGACTAAAGAAGAATGACTATGAATCATATGTCGGTGATAGCTCTGGTTTTAAAAATGTGTTACAAATTAAACATGGTATGTACACTCAAAACCCGTATACAGAAATACATGAGCATGATGATTACTGTTCAATTCTGCACCCAAAATGATATTAGCAAGCCTTGCTTAACTCACATAGCACGTCCATATTAATAACACTGCACAACCTACAGTGTTGGACACTGACCAAAATTTGTCAGCGGTCCAATGGACCAGCCCAAAGAAAAAGTCTATTGGTCCTGATGTTTACTGGACACAATTACTGCTGACCAAAAAGGGTTATAACCCATATATCGTTTTATACAAGGGAGTATACATGACCAGAATAGAGCCTATGTCATAGCAGCTATGGGTGATATGTTCTGAACAATGTTTCAGGTAACCAAATGTGTTCAAATATGTAATGTAAGGGCTAATTTCCAATACTATATACTGGTAATAACAATATCAAAACCTTATAAATGTAGATTCCTACTTTGTGCAATCAACCATATACAACCCTTAATACATTTCTGTTCCAACACTACACAGAGCATGTAAAGATGTACATGACTCTATCCATCTTT